CATTGGAATTTTAACAAGGCAAAATCATCTTTCAAGATGGAGGCATCTTTTCCACCATGAGAATTCCCAGGCTTCTGAAACTAAAGTAAAATACGTTGCAGCGGAGCAGTGATTTACAACCACATTGATATTGTATTAGACATGAATAATTGTCAAAACTGGATTAATTTTGTCAAATATGCTGACGACTTGACTGGATCTTTACCAGTCAAATGTCAAAGCGAATGCTCCAAACTAAATGGCTTTTTATCAGAAGTCAGACAACGGTCCAAGGAAAACGGTCTTACCTTAAACCCCTTCAAATGCCAAACAGTCAATTTCACTTTTAGGCACAAATGTGACCCAAAAAAACTGGTTGGCACTCACGAGGTGTGCAACACAGATGGCACTGAAATAAAAACCAAGTTGGAAATTAAATATCTAGGCGTCATTCTATCTGCTGATCTTTCCTGGTCGTCTCATATCTTGATGATTTCTAAGAAAATATTCCATCTCTCTTTCTACATCAAGAAGTTAGGACATTCTGGTGTAACCCAACCCTTACTCCTACAATACGTTAACTGTCTCATTCTGCCTATTATTCTGTATTATTCCCCCTTAGTTTTTCCTGGACTACTGAAGAAAGACTTTGCCTTATTACGCAGGATGTTAAAGATTGTCAGCAGGGTAAGCTACTCGCCACTTAACCAGCCGGTTAATATTCCGGTTGACAGGCATTTTGACACATGTGAAAAATGGGCTAAATGCATTTTAACTAACTCACACCACCCTGTTTATTCACAACCCTCTCCTTGTACCTCATCAGGCAGGACCAGAAGCCTATATAGATAACTATATGCTCGCACTAACAAGTACAAAAACTCAACCATACCCTACTTAACTCGTGTTCAGTGCGATAAAGAGAGCATTAGGCGTGAAACTTATAACTTATTAAATAGTCAGTAGAACAATTTGGATCTCGTCTTTCCAACTCATATCATTTATAGGTAAAACGTTTTCTTTCTTTCTTTTCCTTTTCTCTTTCCTTTCTTCTGTTATATGCTGCTTTGTTTCTTACTTCCTTACAAACTCTACTTAAAACATTCTTCTTCGTTCTTTCACATTCTGTATATCTCGACCATTTTTGTTACCGCTTACGCCAGTAGATATGCTAGTATCTACCTTTCTAGCATCTTCAAACACTCTGTTCAATTTTCGGCTTTGCTACCGATATGCCAATAAGTTGTTGTCATAATGAACTGAGATTACCTTAATGTATGTAGGATTTTATTTATTCATGATACACAAACTGGATGCAATACTGTAGTAAAATGCTGAGAATTCCGTTCTGTATCACAAGTACTGTTTTGGAATAAAGCAAATTATTATTATTATTGATTAACTGCTCCTACCAAAAGCATTAATCGTTGTGAGTGCACGTGAGGTAAGCGAGAATATAGTCCACTAGGTCCCTTAAGGTGCAATTTTCATACGTATCATAATATTTTATCTTCTTCTCCTTGTTTAATACATGAACTAGGCTATCAGTATATCGCTTATCTTGGATTCAAAGTAGTTTGAATGAGGAAAAAAAGTGTTCACTAATTTTAATAGCCACTTTGATAGAGCCTTCATAACAGCGGCCAATAAATTGACTACATATAAGTATTACTACCAAGAATACTTGAAGTACATAGAAGGCTACATCGAGGAAGACTATCTCAGACTGGAATTAATCATTATTGTTGCATATAGTGCATTATTTATTGCCTTCTTTCCAACCTTAACCTCAATTATTGGTTGTAACTTTATTGATCACTTTATTACTACAAATGTCAGTGATAAAGCAAACATATGAAATAGAGGGAAACGTTTTTAAGGGAAATACAAAAGCCGTTTGAAGCTGTACCGCTAATCACTATCAAAATCAACTTGAGTTTGTTCACATAAGGCTAGCAGACACTGGTACAAGTACGCTTTGAACAATAATACATTTTTGATTGCATGGAAGATTTGACCATGAACTGACATCAGTTAGAGAACAAGCTGGGAGAACTGTCAGACAGCTGCTCCGTCCCAATTTGGGACTCTTCAGCAATACTCACCCACCGCAAGGGTTGTAACCCAGGACCTTCTGGTTACAAGACTAACGAGCTCGTAGACCATTCAGCCACTGAGACCCGATCCAATGGATCATTGGAGCTCACCTTGTAACCAGAAGGTCCTGGATTTGAATCTCGGTGGGTGTGTACTGCTGAAGAGTCCTAAAACTAGGACGAAATAGCTGCCCAGTACTACTAGGTTTTCCAGCGGTTCTTTAACAGGTCATCATGAAATCCTCCATACAATAAAGCAAAACCCCTAAAAAACCATTACTTGAAAATTTATACATTTTTATGTTTTTACTTCATTGGTTTTCATATGAATAGTAATCATGGCAACCTGAGACCAAGCACTTCATTCCAATCAATCGATGGGAAAATCTAAAAACGGAATTAAATAGTAATTAATACGACCCGTTGCACAAAAGGCAGTGGCTTTCGTGGTCCAAATTGTCTAGTGGATAACGCTTTGGCGTTTAAAACCATGAGCGTTGGCCTATCACTCACTGTGGAATGCAGGTGAATCCAGAAGAGTGAGATGAGTCCCAAATAGGACCGAATGCGCGTTATACTGGATTCAACTGCTAGTCCTTTTTTTCCTTCACATTCCACAGTGGAACAAAGGACTTCAAGCTAGTGGCTTGAAGTTTCTATAGCAGTGTTGTTTATTTTACAGGATGGGATTGCTACCCTCATCCCCAACCTTTCCTCTTAACCAGCATTATTATTTCTGGCTCAGAGAGGTAAAAGAGTTCGTCGGTAGAGGATTGAACCCCAGACCATATGCATCGTTGGCGAGTGTCCTAACTGCTATACCACCGACGCTGTTTAATACAGTATCAATGTGATCGTAAATCGCTGCTAGTCACTCACTATCCAACAATTAACTTCTGAATGGAAATCAGTTGATAAATTAAATAGAGTCTTAATTCCAAATTCAAAACTAGTCCTCTTTCTTCATATGTGAATATCTGTGTATATTTCAGACACTTTCCCTGAATAAAACACCCTAATAACTTAGCGTCTTATAAAAACACGAAGACATGAATTATCAATACAGATTACAAACAACATAATTCAGGGAACTGTTACCTATGCAAACAGATCTTAGTGTTAGAGGTATAAACGCTGCCTTATTTATTCTTATAGTAAAATTTAGAACAACACATTTAAGCGAACAATATTGTTTTCAATTAGATCTCATCAGGCTTAACTCTAATATATATAAGTTTACAAATAAAATTCAAATATAAACCAATCATGGTGTTTTTTCCACATCTATGTGTATTTATCAATTCAACTGCACCTGCGGTGACAGTTATATTGGGCGTACTACTAGACAGCTTAGCCAACGTGTTAGTGAACATCCCCCATCGTAGTTTGGCAAAGGACAGACAAAAACAATCCGTAGCTCAATTCTGTCACACCTAATTGGTAGTGGTCATGTAGTCGATAGAACGAAAGCCTTCAAAGTAATTCATCGTATCCCTCCGAATCTTTCTAATAGACTTCGTATTCGTCTACTGCACACAGCTGAGGCGATAGGCATTCGAACTATTAAACCTAAACTATGCATTCAAAAGAAGTTCGTAAAGCCATTATCCCTCCCGTGGCCTAATAAGACATAACCAACGAAAGACTTCTACACCACCCTTTATTTATATTTCCAACCCTTTTCTTATAATCCCTTAATCTTATCTTATATTCATTATAAACGCGTTTCATTTCCTTGCCCTACAATCTAACATTACGTAATCGGTTCATTTGTTTTTACTATCGACTACTTCCACCTGAACAATTGTTTGTTTAATCATACTGTTTTTCATTATTCATGTTATCACAGATTGCCTCATTTTTTCATCCTTATTATTGATAAGACCATTATTATTATTACTATTATTATTATTATTATCATTACCACTATTATGACTAACTGCACAATTTATATTCATCATCGTATTATCCTATAGACAAAACACCGTGATTGGTTTATATTTGAATTTTTATTTGTAAACTTATATATATTAGAGTTAAGCCTGATGAGATCTAATTGAAAACAATATTGTTCGCTTAAATGTGTTGTTCTTATTTATTCTTGACATCAGGAAGTGAAATCAATTTAGAAGCATATTTTGTATTCCGCGGAACAACGAAATCCCCATTTTATCCTATCATACACTTAACGATTTATGAATCAGAAAGGATTAGATGGCTAAAGTTATTTTCATCGGACATACGTTCTAATTAAAAGGTAGTGGGAAAAAGTATGTAAACCTTATAACACAATAATCAACACTTTTTGGATTAACTTCAAACTTCCTTCCTGGTGTTGCTCATCTCTTGTTCAAGAAGGCTCACAGTTAGAACATCTCAATTACAGCAAAACATCTCACTTAACCCTGGTTTTTTTATACTTTTAAAACTGGCAGCAGTTGATCACAAAATGATTCTTTCAAACCCCAGTAAAACCGTCAAGTATAGGTAATTAGACATGCTTGAAGAAGGAAATATTAGTCAGACCATCACTACCGTTTCTATCAACATTATAGAACACTTTGTGCTACGTTTTACTAAAAGATTACTGAGCACAGACATTTCTAGAACTGGTTTACAGATAGTAAAACCAATCAATTCATTGAATAATGTATTAATTATGTTCATAAAATTTAAACAGCGCGCAAATCGTTTCCATGAATATGCCAGTGAAAGTCAGTTATCTATAATGACCTGATGACAGAGAAGTATATTAACTAACTACATTCAAATTATTCCATTTGGTAGACTTTTCAAAAATGTCAGTTAATCTGCATATCAAATGTTTTTTCAAAAACAAAATTAGCGTTATTTTAACAGAAAATCAGAATATACATTCACATCATCAACTAACTACCGTTTACTTTCTCTCCTTTTTGTCTCTAGTAATCATACCAGCACTTATGCAAACAGCAGCTGCTTATGTATGGGCTGCTCAAGTGCGTCGTGAATCAGTTACACCGACCCAACTGCAACAGTACAAAACAAACAAGCCAAACACAAATAGCATCAATGCTCAGAGACAAGGTAGAAAACGCAGATTACCAAAACAAGACAGAACCTTATTTCTATACCGTATACTCGCCTGTACTGGATCCTTACTTGTACTTATATTTTCTACACTCCCACAATTAGTGATTGCTGTCGCAAAACCTCCAATACCAGACAGTATAGATAAACGCTGGGGTTGGTGTCATGCATTTGTATATGCAGATCATGTGACAAGATGTTTTGCGAGTTATTTAATTGTTGTTCCATTTTTGCTGTTATTTTGGAATTTTTTATTCAGTGAAATAATACCACGTCATCATTTAATTATGCGTAATGTATTCGAAGTGATCTTGAAGTCATCGATTTTTATAGCTTTGTTCTCTTTATGCATGCCAATACCAATGGTAATAAGACAGTATGAAAAAGTGTGTCCATCTAAAAACTTTTGTACATGTGGACCAACAATTCATGGTGTTGCAACATTCTTATACTATGATTTTGTGATAACTCGTATTGTTCCAGCGGTCTTTATTATCTTCATCAGTATTGGTTTTTTACGTTGGTTACCAAGAGAAGATTATGGGGTATTCTATGAACCAGCCATTTATTTAGCGCTTACAATACCAGTTGTATTATGCGAAATTATCATTCATATATTTCATCGTGCACATATAATTAAAAAGTTAGCTAATGTAAATTTTTGCAATTTTATGCTTCTATCCTATTCATTATATCATACATCGTTCAGTTGTACATTTGTCCTTGCCACATTACGCTCAATGCTTAGCGAAATACAAGAAGAACGACGTAAAAGAAGTATGCTTTTCTATGATGAAAATGTTGATACTGGACAACAGTCAGGAGGAGGAGGAGGAGGAGTACGATCACCGCCACCTTCATCATCATCGTCAGCATCTCGTAGGAATAAAACTCTTGTCAACAGTGAAACCGGTAAAGCCAATAGTACAAAAGATCAAATGCATGGAACAAAACGTCGTACAAATTTAATTCATGGATTACAGAAACAATTCTCTGTTGCATATCGATGGAAACCAGATTTTACAGATGAAGAAACTGATTTTATAGCTGGTCAAATTGAAGAATCATCTATGGATCAGTCTACGAATCAGAATACCTTCAATAACAGTCAAATTAATAATAATAATAATAATAATAATAGTAATGATCCAAATTTATTAGATGTAAACATGTCAAATGAAACAGGTGAACAGTGTACTGATGACGCTATGCTTCATTATGCTATTCTACAAAGATCTGCTAGTTTAAAAAGAAAGAACAAGAGAAACGTACAAAACCCCATTTAGATCCTTCTCATCGTGGTAACATGCGGAGTCCAGATTTTCAACATAGACAACCAAAGCAACAGCGGATCCCAAATTATTATACTGGTGGTAGTAACAGAATAGCCTAATGCAACTGACCGTCTTTACTCAATTTGAGAATGAATGGAAATATCATCAATAGAGGCTAAAACAAATATTAACAACACAAATAGAAATGCATACAACACTATGTTATCTTCATTTTGTACTGCTTTGGTGAATAAATCAAACTCTCCATTGTAACATAAATAGATGTTCACCATGAAATAAATGTATTTTTTTAAAGGCTAATTTTTGAAATTTATTCAATTTTTTTTTTAATGTTCTTACTACTGCTTGTTGGCAGTAACAAAACAAAACATAAAATATTTCTTTTATTGAGACGTATTTGAAGTACAGTTGAAATACAATTGGAGAAACACCAAAAGTGTCACAGTCTCGTAGTTGACTAAAATTCGTTAGACAGAAAAAGCACAAATTTATTGTTTATTTGCAGACAGAATCAAATAAACCGCCTCTAATTTTCGAATGACTCATTTCTAGGATTCAAGACTTGGGGAAGTGACATAATGAAATAAATATACACGTCAGGTCATAGGAGTTATTAAGAAGGCAGTTGCAGCGAAGAAAATTTTCTTTACGATGAAACCATCAATTACAAGGCTGTACATTCGTGTATTTATATCAGATGGATTGGGAAGTTCTCGAATAATTTCCGGTTAAGGGTAACATTAATAAAAATTACAATTAGGAATTAGAACAAGGTATTAAGAAGACAAATTTCGCGAGATGATATCATTTCGTAGTTTCTTTACAACCGCTTTACAACTAACATGGTTAACAATGATAAAATAAAGTTCATGAAATTTACTCAGTTAAATAAAAACAAAAGTACATACTAATGACCAATCATATTAAGATAGGTCATGCAGTCCAGGGTAGGCGAAGATTGAAGTCTATTGATTTTTGTACACACAGTTTAGGCTGTATGTGATTAATCCAAAGTGCTTCCATCACCTTCAATAACCTTGAGTTAGAGTTATGTGATGGAATAATTGTGAAACAGTCATTAATTAATATTGATTTTGTGACCAGACATTAATAAGTGTTTTGCAATGGATGATGCTGGATTTCTATTAAGATTAATCGCGTTGGGATTTTCGATATGATTTACTAGCCATTTTGGAATATGTTCTTTTCGACGACATTGGAACATTCTGTTAGTTCTACCTATATAGGTGTCACCGCAGCTGCAGGTGAACTTGTAGATTCCGTTGGAAGTAGAGTCCACACAGTATAAACGTTATGTAGATGATACTCTTATTATTGGTAATAATAGTGAATCTATTTAAAACTTCATTACTCTATTTAATCATATTCATCCAAATATTCGAGTGACTTCCGAACTAGAATCGAATAAAAAAAACTTGGTTTCCTGGATATTACTTTGACTAGGAGAAATGATGGAACGATTCAGCGCTCTATTTTTCGTAAACAAACATGGACTGGACAATATCTTCATTTTACCAGTTTTGTTCCTATCCAGTATAAACGTTCCCTAGTGAAATGTTTGTTCTCAAGGACCCGAAAAATATGCACGAGTGACACACTGATGGATGAGCTTCGACATGTACATTCAGTTTTATTAGCTAATGGTTATCCGGAGAGCTTTATCACTTGTCACAGCAAAGAAAAACCACATCTCGAAAAGACAGCTTCTGTACCAAAGAAAGCCATCTTTATTAATCTACCATTCAAGGGCGACCAGATTATGCAGTTGACAACTCAAAGACTTCGATCAGCCATCAAACGCACATTCTACGCCGCATCTCTTTTTCTCACTTGCCGAACATTTTCGACCCCTGTTCCTACGATTAAAGGACGAAATTCTGTGGACTCTACTTCAAACTGTATCTACAAGTTCACCTGCAGCTGCGGTGACACCTATATAGGTAGAACTAACAGAATGTTCCAATGTCGTCGAAAAGAACATATTCCAAAATGGCTAGTAAATCATATCGAAAATCCCAACGCGATTAATCTTAATAGAAATCCAGCATCATCCATTGCAAAACACTTATTAATGTCTGGTCACAAAATCAATATTAATGACTGTTTCACAATTATTCCATCACATAACTCTAACTCAAGGTTATTGAAGGTGATGGAAGCACTTTGGATTAATCACATACAGCCTAAACTGTGTGTACAAAAATCAATAGACTTCAATCTTCGCCTACCCTGGACTGCATGACCTATCTTAATATGATTGGTCATTAGTATGTACTTTTGTTTTTATTTAACTGAGTAAATTTCATGAACTTTATTTTATCATTGTTAACCATGTTAGTTGTAAAGCGGTTGTAAAGAAACTACGAAATGATATCATCTCGCGAAATTTGTCTTCTTAATGCCTTGTTCAAATTTATCAAAGGGACTAATTGTTTTAACTAGGAATTAGAATGCCATAATAAACAGGGAGAACAGATGAAACTCAAACAAAGTAGCATCATAATAACTAAGAAGATTGACATTGTGCAATTAGAGGTTAGAAATGTAGAAATAGCAAAATAAATAGACAGGATGTTCGGATAAAAAAACTAATGTGATGAATAATTGTTTATGCGATCAGGGATTAAATATGTAGAAATAGTAAAATGACAAAATAAAGTTCGGAAATGAAAATATGGTAGTGTAAACAGGGATTAAGAAAGACTTAAAATAACACGCATAAACAAGAAGTTTAGTCTAGAAAGGCAAAAGGATCGTCATTGTCAAAAAAATTACCTATTTATGATGGCCACAGCTGGGACAATGGTTGGATGTATTTCTTTTGGATACAAAGCATAGGTTTGAGCTTTGTGATAGTTAGCGCTTCAGTTATGCTCAGATGTCTTAATTTCACTCATTTTGATAGGTTTCATCGAATCTTGTATATTACTTTGAAGGATTTTTCGAAAGGCGCTGAATATCCTGAATTGACCAAATGTTCTGTCACTGAACTGTATACACGCTTTTGTTCTTCTTTTACTAACCAGACTGGGTGGCGTTCACTAGCGCGTTTTTCAAGTCATCGCATGGTACGGCCAATGTACTCAGCTCCACAAGAGCAAGTAAACTGGTATATGCACGTTGAGGTGGCCCAATGTGACAGCTTGTCTTCCACGCTCTGGCTAAACAGTTTCTTGCAGTCGTGGGCTCGCGGCAAAGTATGTTTTCCGCAGAGATGTGGAGAGGCGTTTACGAAGGATTTCCGCTTCAGTATTAACTTTGAATTCTTGATTAAGCAGAAATATTTTCTTTGGAACAGATTGGACTTGTTCGGAAGTCTTCTTAGATTTGAGATTCTTGTCTATGAACCTTGGCGGGAAACTGTTTTCCATCAGGGTTTTTTGAAGATTACGCAGTTCTTCAACCACTTTCTCGCTGCATATCTGCCGAATCCTCTAAGAAAGAGCGTATATCAGGTTTCTCTTTCTGCTTAGGGGTACGTGGCTTTGAAAGTTGATGAATTGTCCATTCCATGTGGGCCTTTTGTATATGGACCTTTTCAGAGAGTTGTTGGTGTTTCTTGTCAGACGGACTTCGTGGAAGTGGAACATTCCGTCGGATTCAGTATCAAGTGTAAAGTCAATGTTTGGGTGGGCGTTACTGAAGACTTGAAGTAGGTGACATCAATAATGGTGCGGCGGATAGTAAAGTCGCATATCAAAGCACTCCCACCATATCAGTTATCAATATAAATAGATAAAATTGTTGTTTTATTATTTTCATATTCTCTTCCGTGTATACCTCCTTATGAGGAAGAAGTATAGACTCAACAAGAGCTCAAAGCTGAGAGCGGTTGAAAGCCAAGAAGCAATGAACAACCCTCTGTTGTCCATTAGTGTAGTAATTCTTGTTAGTGGACAACATTGACACTGCAGAATCCAGTTTGGGTCTATGGCTTATAATAATGATAATTTTTCCACTTACTGTTTGAACTTGAATTCTGAGGTACATATCTTTTTGATACTCCTATTGTTCTGTTCGGTACTATCATCATTCATCACAGAATACAAAGAACTCATTTCATTTGAATACAGCAAGGACAAAAGTGGTTTTTGCAAAATAATATATTACCATCAGTTATTTCATCGGCTTCTCATCAGCCGATGGCTTAGAGCCTAAACCAATTATTATTAATAAGTTTATGAACAGAAAAGGTTTAACACTCTTGCAAAGTTTACATGATGTCAGTCGACAGAAGGTTCTGGACTTGGTGATCAGTGCTCGCAAAATTACGCTTATATAGTTTTTACACAGATAGTGCAAGTTTAAGCAAAGTAAATATATATGCATGCACACAATGGTAAAGGAGTTATTAAGCAAATTTTGTGTTTTCCTGGTACAAAAGGACTTTAGTAAGGTGCCTCTTCAATAGAATTTAACGAATATACACTGAAGATAGACTTGATGAGAGAGGAAGTAAGTTGACTCAAACGCTGGTTGACAATAATTATCCAGACACATTCATAAGGAGATATAAAGTAGTCAGAACACCAAAACCCACTCTCTGACTCGTCACTAAGAAAGATGTATATATCAAACTACCCTATATTATGGGTGATCATAGCAGCTAAGTAACTAGAAACAGATTGAATGCTACAATTTTTATGCACTTAAGATCAGAATACCTGAGAATGTGAAGCCAACATATCCATCTAAACCCTTAGAATATGCTAAAAGTGATGTTAAATCCCACTATATTTGCCAGTACAAGTATACATGTGTGGCCACATATATATAGGGAGGACACATCAATCTCTACAAGTAACTGCTGGCTTCAGAAACAAATGGAATTTCCAGAACCCATTCATGGTGAGAATAGACGAACTAGCTGCTCTATTGAGGAATATATTCTAGAGACAGCACGTAAAACTGATGTTTATCTGTCTTTTAAACCTATCTATGCGACGTGTTTGCAGCGTATCCTCAGGTTTGTGCAAGCCCAAGCTGGCAATTCATCATCACACTAAATCTACTTTCCTTGATAAACGTTGTCTTGATACCATAGCAAATGTACTATTCCCTCTGTTTAGGGATCTTCATTGTTATTTTGACACTCAGTATGTCTTTTTATGCTGACCTATGTCTACTTGGTCACCTCTCCACTCTTTGTTAATTTCAAATATATTTTTTTAATGACAAGTCCGTGTGTGATCAGATTGTTCGAAAAGTGTTGCACAATTACATTATACAATTATACGATAAATTACACCTCCTGATTGCTGTGTCAA